TACTGAGAAAAGGGAGTCTGAGATGGGCATACTGGAGTTGAATGACAAAAAGATTTTTGTCAAATGTATAGTGTTCTATTTTTTTCAAGAAAAAGTTGTCCTTGTGTTACTTTCATAACAAAAAAAAATTTTGAAGAAAGAAGTATAATCTGACCACCCTGACCAGCTCCTCCTGACTCACTCATGAAGTTTTAATAGCTTTTCATCAAAGGCACAAAGTTAGTGAAAATAAGAAAATCTCTGTGTTCATTCTAAAGACAAGAGTGGGCATAGATTTTGAGAACGAAATTTCTCTAAGTATGTTTTTATGTTTCCACATCATTAATCAACACCAGAGTTATAATTAAATACTATATTCTGTTTGAAACACAAACACAGGCTCATGTACCCACACACCCAAAGACCATCTAAATTTCTCTGTACTTTTAGACAGATGGTCACAGGAAAAATAGTTTTAACTATTGAATCTTACACACATGTCACCTTGCCTACCTGAGACTCAATTTTCTCACCTATAATGGGAACAATGATAGTCATATGTACTGTGCTATGATTTTCTTCTCCATTCACATTTAAGATTTTGATATAGATTGTTAAAAATTCTTGATGACATAGAGAAATTAAACAACAGGTAATTTTAATTCACTAATTGGTAGATCTTATGTAAGACCATAAAAGAAGAGATGTGAGCCATATGGGAATTAGGGGGGGGATTCATTTTTCTTAGGGTGAGAAAGGAATGCTCAAGGGGAAAAATGAGAACTGAGTGCTTGGAGAAGTGAGTGGACAATCCATAGATGCAGTGGTTAAAATGTGCACAGTGTATAAAATTCATCATTTCGATCTGTCAGGCTGGAGAATAGGGTTGGTAAAAGGAAGTGGTTGAGAAACAAACATAAAACCTTTTTAAATTAATTGGGATAGTAAAGCATTCCTCTTCTTGATTAACAATACAATACACTTCTGGGCAGTTGGAGCCGTAATAGGCTGTGTTCACGCAGTAGCAAAGCAAACTTATTAAAAGTTAAAAAAAAATCAATCATTTATAGAGTGGTACCAAATGCTAAGTAATTGGTTTGACTTTTTTGTTGTTGTTGTTGTTTCAGAATATACTGAATTAGCTGATTATTTGGGCATTGTGTAATCGATAGTTCTCAAACCTGGTAGCTCATTAGAATAACTTGGTGAGCCTTTAGAAAATACAGAGGTTGTTCAATCCCTAGTACTATTAAAAAAGAAAGAAAGAAAGAAAGAAAGAAAGGATTCCATTCTTACAGGGTCTGATTTAATTGATCTGGGTATAATCCTGGGAATCAAAACATTTTAAAAGTACTCTAAGTGATTGTAATGTGTAGCCATAACCAAAATCACATTGTGTAGATAGAACTTCAATTACCAGTGTATTTTATTAAAAATGCAGATGCTGATTCTGTAGATCTGGTGTAGGGGATGAGAATCTGCATTTCCCACTTGATTCAAGATAAATCTGATGCTATCGATATGTGGACCATATTACAATTGGCAAGAGTAAAGATAGTCTTCTATTTAGCCATAACTGTCATGAGAATATGATGGTTGGCTTAACTTCTTAGTTGCTTGACTAACTCAGACCAGTTCAGTCCAAATAAATTCTCAATCAAAATACTTAAATATATAAAAATGTACCTATTAGAACAAATAAAATTATAAAATATTTCAACTATTTACCACAAACCTCCAAAATAAGCCATCAATATTTTCCACGATATTCTTTCTAATAATTAATAACTTTAAGACAATTTTGGCATTATCTGTTGTGAGAAATGAATTCACTTCCGTAAATGAAGAAAAACATGAAGGAAACTTTGCTTCTTTTTTGATAGAGTACCTCTGATATAGGATAAAACCAGGTTAAATTGCTGTGATACTAGACACTCAGGCTGAAGCTGTCACAAGTGATTTTCTTTTTCATCAAGATTCTGCTCCACAGAGTTAAAAACCAGAAATGTCAATATTACATTAAAATGTTATTATCAAGTATACTTCATGTGAAGAAACAATTTCTCAAAAAATTCTCTGAGTTATATCTTCATGTTAGATGCCTCCAGAAAGCCCTGCCCTTAGAATTGGAACTCCAGGACACTGCTGGGAATAATGACAAAGTGATTAGAATTTTTTCAGTATTATCACTATGATATGGACCTAGGATTTCAGAATATAAAAAAAAAACTGTCAAAAATCAACTATGTTTGCTATTTTTCCTTTTAATATCTTTTTGGCTATATTTATCTCCCCAAATATTTCCCCAGATGGGCACAGAATTTAATAGCTTAAAGGAATTCACTTTATTATCAAAATGTATTTTGCACATAAAAGCTCCCTGAGACAACAATGATCCACTGTTGTTACCAAACAACCAAAGTTGGATCATATTATTTTTCTTAAATTTTGTGACTGTTTACACGAGAACCAGAGTAAGACAAATTATGCTTCCATTTGCATTTTAATATACTGTTCTCAGAGAGCTGCTCATTGAAAAATAAGTATTCTTGGGTTTGCTTATGTTAGAGATTGCATTGTATAAGAGTTAGGTATGGAGGAAATATCAAATGGTATGGTAAAGACACCATTATGTTTCCTATGTGGCCTTACTTTTACTAAGTGGCAATTACTCTAGATATCAAAACTTCTGACGTTTACTTATAATTCCATAGTGTGTGGTAGAAAAAAATACCTTGAAGTCAAATATCCTTTTGTATCAAACATTTATGGCATGGACTAATCACTCTAAAAATGTTCTATGAATGAATGAATGAGTGGCTTGAGAATCATGCACAACACTCAATCTTCCTATCTTCCCATATTCATCAATGAGATTTCTCAGAATTGGGCTCTTTGGATCTCTTTACTCTTTCTTCACTCCTGCAGCAGACACTTGATGTTTGCTTCTGATTATTCAAAAGTAGCTTTTAAAATACAGGATACAATACAACTTCTAAATTGCTGATGAACACATTTAAACTGTGCCTGTAGTGAAGACTGATTGGTTACCTGCTTGGGATTTTCCAATCTTCTCTTTCCAAATAACCTTCAGGTTTTCCATTGGAAATTCCATCTTTAACTTTAGATATGCCATGTAGTTTATATGGAATTG